ATTTCTGGTCTGTGGGACACTGTGTACTGTCCGTCATTTCTGGTCTGTGGGACACTGTGTACTGTCCGTCATTTCTGGTCTGTGGGACACTGTGTACTGTCCGTCATTTCTGGTCTGGGCGATTCGTCAGAGATCAAGTCTTCGTCCCTTCCACGTCCTGGACTAGCACAGAATGGACACTGCTGACTGTTGGAACAGGACATTGTCTAATCTGAGTTGTGTTTTAAGTCACTTATAGAATGGTTGCTCCCAGCAGACACTACCGCAAGCGGTGCGACGAGCATAAACCATCCTCACCGTCTGTCTCTTCACCGGCGCAGCCAGGGGGTGACGGATCGCTAGGATGTAGTAATGTGGATCTAGAGCACTCACTGGTTTACAACAATTAGGGGGGGGGGGTGCAGCCAGGGTTAGGTGGAGTGCTTGCACCATTTGCACCAGTGACACCCCGCCACTGCTCTTTAAAAAATCTAATCTATCTGCCAGGAAAACTCACTTTTGTGGATTGTTCCACATTTTTGTATTTCCTGTTGTAGCATGCACATTTTGACCTTGGCTCACACGCAACATGATATGAAATTCGCTGTAAGCTGCTACTTTCTATAAATAGGTTTGAAGTAATTCTATTTTACCTTAAGACTTATACATGTATATCCATATAATAATGTAATGGATGAGAAGAGAACAGGTATATAATCCAACAAGTTGGAATTTAATCTGTGTGTTTGCTACTCCCACACTCCAGTATCGAGGCGACAGAGCAGGGGCAGGGAAGAGAAGAGGAGGCTTGCCTTGTCGGTGTCCACTGCTGGGCTGGGAGTCAGGGGGGCGGGGTTCAGTTCCACTGTCCAAGGTCAAAGTAGCACTGCCTGGGCACAGGTCTCACGTGATGTCTGCGGAATAGACAAGGATGGGGGATGGGGGTGATCTATCTATCTATCTATGTATCTATCTATGTATCTGTCTGTCTGTCTGTCTGTCTGTCTGTCTGTCTGTCTGTCTGTCTGTCTGTCCATCTATCTATCTATCTGTCCGTCTGTCTGTCTGTCTGTCTGTCAATCTGTATACGTCTGTCTATTTGCCTCTACCTATCTTTAATGTCATCGCAAAGTTCCGAAATGGTGGGCACAGTCTCTGCTAAGGTGACATTGTTAGTTTTAACTTTTTCTGTCGAGTCAAGACAAGGGAGG